AATGTCCACAATAATTTTCATGATGTTTCTAATTCATTTCATTCATTTACTTCTTATAGAATTATATTTAGCAACCAAGTAATTCAATACATGCAAGATATGCAATATTATCAATCATTTATCTTGCCAACTCCAATCTCATTTGAATAATACAACAATATAAAATGAAAGAAAAACTTAGTTTCAAATGACACACAACATGTGAAAATAAGCGATATCTAAATTTATTTTTTTCATCCTTAAATAAATCTTTGCAATTGATGTAAGGAGATAAAATCCAACTTCTATTATTTATTTCATTTTGAATTGAAATCTTGATATAGAATTTATATCTTACAAGCATATATATTATTGACTTGTCATTTTCAACTAGCTCACTCATTCATTTCCTAACAAACACATGAATTTGTGACAAGTCAGTCATCAACTAACACGCTCATTACATATCTAACATGCACATGTATTGTTGACATATTACTCTCAATCAACACATTTACACAATTATCTACTAAACATACAAATTGCTTACATCTAAATTGTAGTTAGTACATTACAAGTCCATTCTAAATTCACCTTAAATAATCTTCATATTAGTTTTTTTAAACTATAGATGATTACAATAGATTACAAGATTATGTTAAAAAATTAAAATACAATGATGACATTCAAATTTATTTGTTGTGCCTTTGTAACAAGAAATATTGCCTTAATCAAATTAAAAACCTTTTTTTTGGGAAAAAAAAGTGTTATAGGATTCATTTAAATTAGATTACAAAAAGTCACTATGATTCAACTGTTTAGTATAGTTAACTAATATAAATGAATCGGAAATCAAATTTCACTAACATAAATCTAAGGTTTAACTTTATGAACTTCACATGATGAGATCTAAATCTATATTTCTTCTTATCTTAATTGACCTCATTGCCTAAGAAAAATCATTTTGTAGGGTACATGATTACGTATGATTTAATACATTCAACACCCTTCAAGAAGATCAGGTGCTAACACCCAAATCCACATATGTTGTTATGTGTAAAGTAGTCCATCACTATCTTTCTTTGTTAATATTAAATCAGATTGAAGTTAAGCGTAGGTCAACTCCAACTATTTTCTCTTTTGGAAGCATTTCATGTCGCCTACGACTTGAAGATATACAAGACGTATGTCTTGTATATTATATATAGATAATTTTTGATAACTTATCCAAACCCGAGTGTAAGTTTCGGTTGATGAAAATCTTGCAAATGATATGTGAATCTACTGTTTTCAAAGGAAGTGAACCCTTTCACATCCACGATCTTGACTTGTCTCACGGGGTCCAAGTGCATACCAAAAGAAAGAATGGGAAGACTTGTCTAGGGTTGCAGATTTCGTTGAGTGCTTGCTTCGTGTATTGCGTTACAGCTGACCGAGTGTGCTGAGTTGCTCCTGCAACACACGTGCGTAGGAAGTCAGAGGATCAAATCAAGTTATAGTCGGTATATGCTGTTGGTCGTTACCTCCCTGGCACTAACGTCTACAAATGAAAGCTCGACGATTGCGAGAGTGGAGTCACATTATCCCCTCTATTCATCAGATTACCGTGGAAAGTCACTATGTAAACGTCAAATCCCGGTCTTCTTGGGGAAGATGAGAAAGAGTCGCCTAGCTATTCTTACTCATACTATCCCAAAGTAGTAGAAGTCAGTTTGAGCAACGTTAGTCAATCTCACACTGGTCGAAGTGCACATGTCGTTTGTTTTAGTATAGGTTAGGACCATATTCTGTAGTAGCCTATGGTGGAGTGCACTTCAACGTACTAAGCGGCAAATTACAGACCGACTGAAGGGTCTCCACTTTCCGCTTTGTATTATCTGCTTTGATGCGGCCCACCATCCCCTCCTCTTTAGAAATCATTTTGAGAGGCCAAGTAAATTCGCGGGAAAGACAGTGATCAAATACAGTACTTCAAATGAATAAAAGTTCCATCAAAAGCAAAACGGATTTGAAAGGACAGATTACACACATTCGCAGTGGCCAAAACCACACCACTAAAGTCGGCCATATCTGTAAACATTCCGTTATGTTTCTACTACCGCGCAGCCAGAACGCTACCACTAAGCCCTTGGTAAAAGTTCACTGGATTGTATTTATTTCGTTAGCCATCAACCCTCAAGCTAGCGGACAAAGACTATTTAACTTTTGTGCCCTAGGAATATAGGGGTCAGATTGACTCGACAAATACATGTTTGGAGTACAGCAAGTCAAGACTTTCAGAGCGCTGTCAACCCTTTCTATTTTCCGCATCGTTTCTACAGTCTGAGAACTAACCATGCATTGTATCTTATTTTTCTAAAACATCTAACTTTCATCTTCTTATCATTTGGCATCGTAAATAAAAGTAGGTCACGAAGAACAAGGACTTTACCAACCTCCAGATGCCATGGCATCGACCATACAATTTATGTGTAAATTTCCAATCTATCTGGACGTTCTCATGACGATTTGCAAATCGAACATGCATATACATGCAATAGAATTTTTGGAAAAGTGCCGATGTGAATAAAAAACGAGAAAACCAAGGGCTGGGCCCGATAGTATAGTAATGAAACCAAAGGGAGAGTTTTTATAAGAAGGGAATAATAGGGAGATCATAACTAACCATATCCCTTTACAAGCCATCCCGAATATTTTGTTTTTCGAAAACTGGAGAATGAGTTACAGGTATTAATAAGGCGGGTAATAAGTGTTATCAATTGATAATCGATCCAGTAGCAGTTTGTGTCACTATCTACATTTCAAATCGAAATTATTTTTCTCTCAGTTTCGAGTATATACGAGCAGTTAAATTTTTTCATCATTCCATATGGAAATTTTGGGGATATTCTATAGTTAACAGTAATGAAAAAACAGCAACCGTGAATTGGATTTATGGCTCTATCTCTTTCCATTATTTTAAGGTCCCATTAAAAAAATCCTTAACAAACGCGGGTCACCTCCAGTGATATTCAATGTTGTGGGCAGACTTAGTTAAAATTCTGGGGTCAAGCAAGAGTCGTGGCTCAAAAAACTAAAGAGAAAAGCTTTTTGTTTACTTCGTGATAGAAACAAAAAGCATTTCTCTTTAGTTTTTGAGCCACGAAATCTCATAGTCAACGATATTATCCATCCTGTATGTTATAACATCCTTCATTCAAGTTCAGCTATAAATGGAGATATCAAGTGTATCTATTCGTTAGTTCAGACTCTTTTTATAAAGAGAATATATTTATCAACACACTATGAAGAATGATGCAAAAAGATGTTTGACACCGTATTAGTTACAATGTCCAAGAATCCAAGAGCATCACTTGCAGGTCTTTTTTTTCCTATATATCAGGTTGTTCCAAAGGATTCCTCATTCCTCTCGTCTTTTCTCTTGATGAGAATGACAGCATGTTTGAGTGAGGAACAACTTTTAGCTATCATTAAATCTGAATATCATATCGTAGTGTTCATGTATCCACATGTGTCTTGATGATATACATCTTTGGGAACTTTTGAACTAGTTACTTCTGTGCCTTTGCATAGAAACATAAAGAAACGAAAGTGTAAATACAGATCTCCTTCAAACATATGTAATCTGCACGAATCACATTGATGTAACGATGTTATAAGTTTGTATATCAAATCTTGGTGGGTTTTAGGATTCTGTATTACTGGCGTGGATTCTAATCGAAGTATTGATTCATGTCCATAATTTGTAACATTTAAGAAGTAAAGGTTAAAAGTTTAGAACAACGTTATTGCTATTGGATCACTAACTCTTGCAAATTTCAGAAGTGGAATGAGATAGTTTGTTATCTTCTGTCTCTGTTAACCATGGTGCAATTTCCCAATACTTCATTTCAATTTCCTTCCACTTGTAAAGTCTTTCATGCTTCCTTCTGACTTTGACGTTGAGTTTTCTTGCCCTTACTTGGTCCCCGCGTTGCTTTCGTTTGAAGGCTTTGGCTTTTCTTTTCTACCCAAGGTCGCCGCTTCTTTCCATACAAATACATCTTGTTATGAAAAAGTCTTCCTTGGACAGAGTTCTCAATGTTGTTGTAACGTTACATTCCAATAGCAGCCAGGTGCAGTAGGGATAGATTTGTGTGACAAAGTGTATGACAAATTGCTGAGTTCTTTAGATGGAACTCAACATAGCCTATCAGGGAATAAAGGAGACCCGATCCGTTTTTACTGTATATTTCTTGGTGACTAAATTGCTTGGTGTCCTTTTTCCTATACTGTAATTCTGTAGAATATCATACAAAAGAGGAGGAAAAGCTTGACGGAAAGCTGGCCGCAACTTAACGTACTGTACTTATGGATATGGCCCGGTCTCAGAGTTCAGACGAATGCCGATCGAGTCTGAGCACGGTTTAAGCTCTACGCACTTGAAAAATAGGATATAACGACGTCTCATCATCCTCCATAACACGTGAGGATCCCATCGAACGTTGCACAAAAGTCATTCATGAGCTGAATTAACGTATGAGACGAGCAAAGGCAGCGTGTTCATACTAGACGATGCAGAGATGGAAGAAGAAAGTACGGACTCTCGTCGCACATGAGAGCATGTGAACCCATGCCTGAGTACAAATGTCTGAAACCAATGGTAATGATTCCGGTTGATAAACTCGCTTAAAGTATTGTAATTGTAATCTATGTGGCTTCTCCTTTATGGTTGACCACAAGTTTATGCTGACTATCACGTGTCTTACAACTTAGACGTCAGGAATCATACAGAGGTTCTCTAATCTACTCTGGACTCTGGAGGCCGAATCAACAGACTAGCAAAGCCCCCTCTACATGGTAACATGCCACTCGCGCTATTTTTCTGGGATTAAGCATTGCGTGATTGGTACATTTTTCACAACCGCGAAAGTAAAATCTGCGGTGTCAAGAGATCAGGATGACTGAGAACATATCCCTATGATCCTCATCAGATTGCTTGGAATCTCCATTTCAATAAACCAATGCCCTCACTGTACACATTTTTGCTGAACATGGCAAACATAAGAACCATGCACGGAAAGAAAGACCAGTAATTCGACAAGCGAAGATAGTATAGATAGAGAGAGGGAGATTTCAGATTGATGTAAACAATGGATTCTGATTTATAGCGGGTGAAGAGGACGCCAGAGATTTTCATGGCTTTCCTCGTCTAACACTAACATAGACACAAAAAGCATCAGCACTATGCTGAATTTTCGGAAACCTTGTGATGCGTAGGGTCTACTTCTTTCTACTCAGGATTTGATTTACGTTGAACAATCCTCTGCATTTCGATTAAGGCTATGCTCTTGAGGAGAACAGAGCGTTGTCGCCAATTCTTCGCCATTCGCCATGAATCGGACACGACGCTCAGACAAATTTCTCCGACCTCTGGCTCCTGGCGTGATCAACAAGCTGCATTCTTGCTCCTGCATGATCGCCACGGAATTCTCGGCCTAAGTGCACGCACATTGACGTCCCCGGTAGAAACTCTGATCCTGCTTTCGGAGGGTATATGTCGTCCATTTGAAGTAATTCAGAAATTTCTCCATCTTCGCCACGGAATTCTGCAAGTTCTGATTCTATGGAGATCTTGCTTGCATTCGCCTCGAAGTATGCGATCGAACAGCTTGAGAGAGCTCTCCGAGGCTTCTGTAAGTCTACACTGATCCTTAGGCCGGATGATTCTAAACCTTGCTCAAGTCTCTGTCCAGCTCTGATCTCTGCCAATGTCTGGGATCTGCTTGGGTAATCCAGAATCTGGATGTGTTGCTGCGGAGCGTCCGAGCTCGCGGTGGCACACGAAACACGCCGCCGTCAATTTGAGGATAAAATTTGTGGAGACTGCGGAGACCATTCAGCCACTCTTAATTCCAGACGCCGCATTGCATCGAGAACCAGAGGCCCAACTTCTTACATTGAGAGGCGATTCCCATGTCCGATGCACCACCGCTGTTTCCAAGAATATGACAGCCGAATGGTGATCAAAGATTTGATCGTCTGAGTCACATTCTTTGGTGGCAGTGAGCCAAGAGGGAGAATCGTCATCGCCAAAGACATCATTATAACTGGCCATTCTGAGAACCTGTCGATAATCCAATAAAAGATTCGAGTCGAGAGACGGACAAGGTAGGCAAATTTGCCTTCAGAAACCTGTTCGTGAGATGAGTGCTCGAGATTGAAAGATGCTCTGGGAAGCGAACACTCAGATTTGGATGAGCGAAGAGATTTTGTTCGAATCGGTGGTGAGCGAGCGCCGATACTCTCGAGTGTTTCAGGCAGGGTAGTGAAAGAGTGAGTGACTGATGAGGATGAGAGGAATTGCTTCGAACGAGAGAAGAAAATGATAAGAGTAGCCAATCCTTCGGAGAATTTATATGCATGGGAATACGCTTTGAACTTAGAATGCAAGAAAATCATTAGCCAGTAGAACCTCGAATCTGGTAAACATGGGCGTGCGTGTTTCTCAGCTGAAGGAGGAATCGTTCTGAGCATTACCGCGGCGGCTACTGGAGACTAGACTTTTTGATTCGTGGACTAACGGTTGTTTCATAGTCCAAGTTCAGCTCTATCGACTTGGTGGCTTGGTCTCTTGCTAATGAAAGCCCATGTCCGACAGTCCTAATAGCACATCGTTGTGCCCTGAGCAACTTCCACGTGGTTTCGCAGAAGCTTACTTCGAAAACGTGGTGACATTCAGTTTACATGGTCGACATGCGCAGTTCGGCATAATCTCCCGTCTGCTTAGGAACTCCCTCGGTCAGCTACCTCAGATGGTCAGACCACTTTTGCGCCAGGTTCAGGATCTATTTATATTCCTTTTTTATTTCCCTCTCTCTCTCTCCCCGTCCTAGTTCAACGACATAAGTCATTCCTGCCCCATGTCGCAACGCTGAATAATATGCACGACTGTTTTAATTACAGTTGAACGAAAATCTTACAACATCGATTTTAGCAATCATGACGGAACTGTATATTTCAAGGGAATGGAATGCCAACGTAGCTCAGATGTTGTATAGTTTAGAGTAGCTCAAATGTTATAAAATGTAAAGTAGCTCAGAATAAAATATTTTTTACATAAGGGGATGGGCTTCTTCTGATGGTGTATTGCAACACTCATGTTCAGAAGGTTCTATTTTATAGATTTTTCAATAACTTTTGAATATTCTCTTAAGTGCTTAGAAACCACTGAACCGATATTTTTATATAAAAATCAATTTTTTTGACATCATTGATTTTGATGTCGATAGATGAAGTAATCAAACTATAAAAAGAACTTCAGATTATCTGGGCTATATTTTTAACAATAGACATTCATTTCTATTTCAAATCTATAATTTACGCTACTCTTCATAACAACGTTGCATCTTATTTGATAAGATGGTTTTAAGATATTACATTGTTTATAAAGTATCATTATATCACTTAATCTTTTTGTATCGTTCTTCATTTTTGAATAGATACTTCAAATCTAATGAAACAAAAAGTTCCATGAACATCATGAGACACGATGTAACAAGATAGTTTTGCATAGGTATTGCAAATGGGGAGAAGTCTCTTGAAAGATGAAAGGAGTATTATATTAAAACTTGTTGGCAGGATTCTGTAAAATCTTTAATATTTTTTTAAAAGATTTGGACATTATTGATAAATCTTGCCTCATTTTATGATTTACTAGTGTATATCTTCTCACCGCTTAAATTCTTAAAAGAAATCTTCTATGTAAGTTTGCATGTAGTAAATTATAGCTTTGAAGCCATCTTGGGCTTCTTGATGCTCTGTTAAATTATGTTGAACTATAAAGATAGATCCGGGGTGCAAAACAAGGTGACATCTGAGTAAAACATTGAGATGATTGTTTGAGTATGACGTACTTGAAAAAATTATTATATAAATGATATTTGGTTTGATTTGAAGTAAATGTTTAATAAATGTCATAAATGATGCAGATGTTGGCTTCAAAATATATCAGTCTTTTTGTAGAAAAATATTCCAAGAATGATGTGTGATAATAAAAGTAAAAAAAATTCAATGAATGGAAATAAGGTATGCAAATATTATGTTGTATGCTAAGATCTCTATATGTTAAGCATATTTAAAAGCTAATAATCAAAAACTTACATGCAATCATGCGCATATTGTAAATGTTTTTCCACTAGAAGCATGATGTGGATTCAATAAAAAAGTGATAGAGGTTTGCAGTATCTAGTATTTGAGGATCAGATTTAAAATAAATCAATATTGAATTCACATCAAGAAGAAAGTACATTGCATTCTATACACATCTTATATTGCTTAGTAATCTAATATTGCATTTAACTAAAAGTTTTTTTTCATAATAATCATATGAAAAAATGCAAACATTGCACCCATATAGAAAGTTAACATATTAGGGTTTTCAAACTCAGTCCTTTATCAATCATTTAAACAAATAAGCTTACAAAATAATTTTACAACTGTGTCAATATTATTTTTTAATATTTGTCAATATTTTTTTTGATATATTGCTACAAATACTTCTATAACCACTAAATAATAGTAATATATTCATTCTTGTGATGAATCAAATGTATGTTTTATTATACAACTCATCATATGACTTTTTTAATTATCTTTGTGAAAAAATCTGTAAGTAATTTGAAAAAAAATGTTCAAATTATTATCAATTTTAAGAGCTAATACATTGAAAATCAGAGCATTTGTTTATAAATATGAATTATTTCTTTATATTTTAAAAATTATGCATGTGAAATATATAAGTAAATTATATTTATTATATTTAAGAATATTTTTTCTAATTCAGTGTTTATTATTTTTTTATTTCGATATTTTTAGAAACCAAACTGTATGATGATTCTGATATTATAATTTTTTATTATATGTAAATTAAAATTTTATTTTAATTTGCTATTTTTCCTTACATTTCATTTTCGAATTTGAAGTAATTCAATCTTTTAAATTTTAAATTGGAATTTTACAATAGTTGGTTATTGCATAGATTTCCAAATCGATAAGACTAGAAATATCATGATACATACTAAATTAAATTAAATTAAATTAAATTTGAAAATGTTTAAAGTAAAATAATTAGCGATTCAAGTGATTTTATCAACAAAAAATTGTGTCATAATGAAAATGTCTCATACAACATACTTAAAATCTAAACTATCATAATCAAGTAGTTTAACCTATTATATAATATGACTTTGTGATAATTTTTAGCAAATACTAAAAAATTTGTAACTATGATTTTAATCAAATATTCATTTTTCTTTATTTTAAAAAAATTATTAGAAAAAGAATGTAAAAAATTTATATAATATCAGCTCCTTTGTTAGAATGTTATTCATATTAAGCAATCTAACATACATGGAACAATTATTGTTACAAAAATCAGTTAGAAATAAGAAAGTCTTACGATTTATATCTTGAATCTAAGTACATATGTGTGTGGTAGGTTTCACTATAATTTAATGATTCTCTTTATATTAGAAAAAATAAAAATAAAAAACATTTATGTGTATATCTTAATTATGTTTTATGGAAAAGAAATCGACTCATAATCTTTGTAGTTTTACAATGTTATGAGCTTAATAAAAATTATGAGTCCGTTGGTTAGAGTTTACAAACTATGGGAGGTTTTGAAATCAATAATCGGAGTTATACTCCCAATAAAAATTATAACACATAAGGTATTACTCCTGTTGTTTTTTTGATTGTATTGTTGCATGGTTGTTTTTCTGGGCCTACCCATGCCACAATATGAGATCAATCAAGGTGAAGAGGAAGTCTCAATGGAAAAAGTGTTGTGTTCACTACTTGAGGATATAAAGAATGACTTCTTCTATCATACAAAGCTCTTCTCTTAAAAGAAAAATAAAATGCTACATGGACTATAATCTGAACCAATCACGATACACATGCTCTGAGATGTGACGGGGTAGAGAGGTTGTCGAGGATCTGCCGTTTGGATAAGTTGCTTGGAGATTTTTGACAAAATGCCCGGAAACTTCCCGACCCGCTTTGGCCAGGTACCTTTTGACTAGGATTCAAGATTGCAGTCTACATAAACTTGGCTCCAATCAGTTGCATGAGTATCTAAGAGTCTTGGGGGAGAACTCCGTGAAGTATCGTGTATTGAACAGTGAAGTATCCAGGAGAGTATGATACATGCAAGACTGCAAGCACTTTCCTGATCAGGGTCCAGTCTCCCGGCGGGAAGACTACCTCTTTGAAGGTTCAGCAGTTCACGTGTGCTTGAATAAAATGGTACAAAAACTGGGCAAATTCATTGACTTTCTGATGTCACAGCGTGAGGTCACCGTAGGAACTAAGTTACCGCTAGTAAGCTAGTACTGTTCTTCTTCTTTCGTCGTGACTACTGGAGACAGTGACCCTCCTACGTTGCGTTGCAATGACGACGAAATATTAAATTACAGTCATGGGAAGTGCCACAGAACTCTCGAGGAAGCTGACTGTCCTCTTTCTCCAGCTCCTTCCTTCCTTCCTCGGACCAGTGACGGTTTTCAACTCTCTGCTCGTGCCACAAGACATTCTGAGAAAGCGCCAGTGTCGTGTGTCGACTCTCTGCTCCTTCTGCAAGACATTCTCCTGGCACGATGAGACAGATGCTTAAAAGGGGAATGGTGAGCGGAGCTTCATAATATGATAGTGTTGCGAACGGCAGCTGAAACATTTGAGTTTCCAGAAAGCAAGTTAAGATGTTCGGCTAAACTCAAACGCCTTCTTGTCATGTTCCTTTGCAAAACAAGACATTCGTCTTGTTTTGCAAGATGGTTTTTGACTGTCTTCTTTTTCGAGGAATTGCTGTTTTTCTTTACCTAAGTCAGCTTGTGATGTATTTGAAGGCCATCCTTCAAGGATTCAAAGTGTTCAAGTTCAATTTCAAGAATTAAGAAAGTATTTCACAATTTTTCACATTAGTTTCTGAATTGACTTATGAAGTTTAAATTTACTATGAAAAACATATGGTATAAGATTATTTGAACATTCATAGTCTTTAATACATTTTTTCAATATTTATAAATTTTTCTTCTTCTTTTGAATTTTTTGTGTGGAGATATATATATATATATATATACACCTCATTCTTTATCTACTTGGAAAAGTCTAGTTGTGCATTGACAGAGAGAAAGATAGGGCTGGGGCATTAGTGGCCAGGTTGAGATGATTACCCCCTTGAGAGATAGTTGAACATAAATAATCTGGCAATTTGGGAGATTCATGCATTATTTCATCTAACTTAACCCTGGTTCAAGTTTGCATAATTTGGAAAGAATTCATGTGGTTTAACAGTTGAGTGACATATTTGAGAGGTTCTAGATTACTGGAGCTCAAAAGATAACTATGTATTAAGCCGTCGTTTATGGTAACCTCATTTAAACTTGAATTTTATATCATATAATCAAATGATGAAAATCAGACTTAGCACATAAATAAAAGTTATTTTTTTTCGTGCTTATCGGA